ACCTCCACTGTCTTCCAGGGGAGTCCATTATCCACACTGTAATAATGGATGTCAATTAAGAATTCCTGATGTTCAGCTCATGTGACGCAACCAATCAGCCAGGGCCTGAACATCTCATTCATCATGACTCAACCCCGGAAAGAAGAGTCAAATATTCACTCCTCCCATCCCCTCCACTCCCCCCCCCCTCACCCCCATCATCATAAGTGGATTATGGAGCAGTGTAAACCAAGTAGCTAACCAATTATCAGGCACCTCCAGTGTATAATGAGGAGAACCACTCCAGTCCTCCTCCTCCGTCCTTTCACTGCAGACATTTGATCCTCATCTTCACACCAGGATGTTGGGAACAACTCATCCCCAGGCCCCAGCAACAGGGAAGGAGGACGCCTGGAAAACTTCCTCCCACCTCACAGATTCCCAACACACACGGTTCATCTGTCTACGTGTACGTCCCGAGTCCATACGACCCACATGGGTTCATCAGTGGACCACAGGATGACACAGACTGTCGGCCACGCAGACCACCGTGTAATCCACTCACAGCAACATGACCAGGGGCAGGTGGACATCTGCCCCACCATCACCTGCCCTTACTGTGCTTTCAAACTCAAAAACAAGCGCCACCTAAAGCTTTTCAGGAAATAACAGCCATCCTCTCTCTCTCTCTCTCTCTCACGCACGCACGCGCGCGCACCCACACCCGCACACACAGATCGGATGCTGCTGATGTGAAAAAAGCCTCCACTCATGCTGAGGGACTGCAGCAGTCAATGAGTGGACTCCTCTCTCCTGCAGTGCGCGTGTCTTCAGTGGTGGAGGCTGAGGAGCTCCTCCAGCTGCCGCGGCGTGGATCATCCCCCAAACTCCACGGTGGCGCCGCTGTGCGCCAAAAACAGCACAAAGAAAAGGCGCACCGCAGCCAAAAGGCGCACGCGGCGGTGCCAAAACACAAGCACGACTCTGTAAGGCACAACTCCGAGGTGACGGGGACTGGAGCGCACACGTTCACCACAAACTTGCCTGCGGATAAACTTCCATTTAATCCGTCTTACCTGCGCTCCTGGGAGCGGACATGTCAGCCGGTTCAAGTACGAAAAAGACGCACGAGTTGTTTGAGTTTGCACCTTCTCATCCCCGTCCTCCTCCGGTCATCAACATCATATCCTCCCCTGCTCCTCCTCTCCGTGTCTCCCAGTTTCCTCTGCCTGCGCCGCTCTCATCCTCTGGACTGTGCGCGGTTCTCCGAGAGCCGCTGCGCTCTCTCTCCCTCACTCACTCACTCTCTCTCTCTCTCTTCACTGCCCCTTCCGTGCGTGTTTCAGGCGTGTGCGTGCGTGAGCGTGCGTGCGGCCAGGAGAGGACAAGCCCAGTGCGTGTGCGTGGATTTTTTTTTTTTTTTACCCTCTCTCCTCCAAAGCTTTCCTCCAATCCCGGCCGACTACCTCGGAGGCTCAGGCAAATTAAGGCAGCGGATTGGTCGGTGTGCGCATCAATCAGAACAGGCCTGACCCGGCCTCCAACATCTACACCTTCCTCTCCATTATCGCCTCCTCCTCCTCCTCCTCTGTTAACACGTGATAATAGAAGATAGTGATCGGGTAGAGATATGTTATCCCCAGCTCATTTACTTACACACACACACACACATCTGTCCCAGTAGGTTTCCTCAGATTCTGGAGCATCAGTGACTGTTGGAGCAGCAGCACAAAAGACTGTAGAGTGAATTTAGACATTTGAAACCAGAGGCAAATGAACTGTTTGACAACGTTTTCCTCTTTGGAAATCATGAAGCAGGACGCGGCGCTAAAGTTTCATCTCTGTGTTCAACATCTATATATTTTTTGTACATTTTTTGTTTATAGTTATTTTTCACATATTATTGTGAGGACCAACTAGTTTCACTGATGAAATCCAGCAAATACAACGTTGACCTCCAGAAATACCAGGCTCGGTCAAAAAGTACTCAGACAGATGTCATTTCTGCAGGCAGGGCTGCTGCTAGGGATTCTGGGCCCCATGAAAAGATATGACAATGGACCCCTTAAGTATATATATGTATATATATGTATATGTATATTCCAATAATAAGTCACAGGCCGACAGGGACCAGTGTGTCTCTGGTCTCTGGTCTGTCTTCCGTCCTCATTGTCTGTCTTCTCTGCTGCGTCCTGACGACAGTGACCTCAAAGGAACTGTGTTTACTGACTTTACTGATGGAGATAAATAATTGAAGGGCTGTGTTAATTAAGGTTGTTATTGATAGCCGGCCTCTGCCTTTAGCCCTGCAGATGATGATGCACTGAGATTGAGTTCAATAAAATATGCTGTGTTGTTTTTTTTTTGTTTTGTTTTGTTTTTTTTTATTAAAGGCTTTGCAGCAGCACATGCTCTGGAATTCAAAGCTGCAGCCGAGTATTTTAGCCTTTCCTCTCTGAGTGTTGACACATCTGGCGTCAGTGACAGCCCGTCACAGCGTCCATTCCCTCCAGGCATCTGAATGATTCTCAAAGTCTGCTCATAATCTAAGTGGAGAAGGAAAAGCAGCGACTCACACAGCAGTGAGATTTGAACCAGTGACATCACCAGAGACGGTGAAGAACACAGTGTTCAGCATCCTGTCACTGAGTCAAGACTCGGTGGTATAGTGGTAAAAAACTCCACATCAAAGGCCCTTCAGAGGACCATGGGATCTGAACCTGTCACCTTCCTGCACTCAGGCAACAATTGGAAACACTGTGCCACCCCATGGCTCTCGGCTTCAGCTGCACGAGGACAGTAGCATTTATTCAATCCCATGAAGAGATCAGGCGTGTGACGTATGTTCAGAGCTCTGGGTTCGAGTCTCCTCTCGGAGCCAAGCATTAGTGATAAAACAACAAACAAAACAAAAAACTGCTCTTGTTGGGCCGTGTTTTTTTTTTTTTTGGAAAACTACCCAACTGGGAAATTCTGCTCCATGGCTCTGGTTCCCTCCGTGGCTCCGTGCTTGAGACCCCACTGTTTTATAAAATGGTGAAATTCTCTCTGCAGCCAGCAGTGCTCGACTCGGCCTCTCTGATTTTGACAATTTTCGAGGCCAATTATGTTGTTCTGGAACTCGTCTTTGGCAGAGTGCACTCATGGTGCTGGGCTTTTCCCCTCTTTCTTTCTGTTAATCAATTAATCAGTTGGTCACTTCCCTCCCTCTCTCTCACCCTGTGCCCCCCCCCCCCCCCCCTCCCCTCTGCAGGCTAACGTGGTCCAGGCAGCCTGAGGCCAGCTGTTGACTCTGCTCAGCTCTTCTTTGACTTCACTCACTGGATCCAAAGGCAAACGTGATGAATAATGAACAGAGCAGAGCAGAGCATGAAGGTGGAGGAGGAGGAGGAAGCAGCACGACAGAGGAAGGATGGAGGGGGGGCAACCTGTTAGTGTTCAGCCATCAATTAGGCCACAGTGGAGACATGGGGAGAATGGAGAGTGGGGGGGGGGGGGGGGGGGGGGGGGGGGGGGGGGGGGGGGGGGGATCCAAACTTAACTCTAATGGCTAAGGAGAACGACCAATGAGAATGAGTGGTTAAGTGGACGTGAGTGGACCAGGTGTCGTCCATCTTCAGACCTGGTTCTCCCACATCAGAGCTGAGGTTCAGCGGCCGACCACTGTGAAAGAACGGTGTCAGAAATGAACCTTCAAATATTTTCCCTGTTGTCAAAAGTTTTGACCAAGTTTACAGGATTACACTGTTTTAGCCCCATCTACAGGTCAGGGCAGGGATCTGCAGGCTCAATGTCTCAGGTCGTACCAGTCCAAACAAGGAAGTCGTCGTGGTTTGACTCCGTGTGGCTGATAGATTTATTTCCAGGTGTATTTCGCGCTCAGTTCCACTTTGTCTAATTGATTATCTTTATTTCCATTCGGTGTTGGATTCAAACAGGCTTCACCTAAACTTCCCCCACAGAGTCAGATCGTCTCCTCCTCCTCCTCCTCAGCAGCTCTGCCTCTCTTTGGTTTGTAAATTAGATCTGGTGAATCCACGATTCACAGGAACATAAACGCTGCTACTGAAGACCTGACGTTTACCGTGGAAACTCGAGCTCACGTTTGTGTTAATATAAGTCCGGCACAATTTCCTCAAATGAAAAGTGAAAACAAATGAAAACTGCAGAAACCATTGTGCATGAGACTCAGCCTCAGCCTCCGGGAGCCTGAATATTCGTCTGCAGGATGTGTGATGAATTCTAACCAGGAAACAATAGGAGTGGAGCGGGGAGTCAGCGGCAGCAGCAAACAGCAACTATTTGTTTGATTCCTGAGCAGCAATTTGTTTTCATGGGGTAAGTGTTCAGGGACAAACGTGGACTCTGCACAGAAGAGGGAGGGATATGGATTTTTAATGGCCAGTTTGGTGACATGTTGGAGTGTGTGTCTGTGTGGGTGAGGGAGGGAGGGAGGGGGAGGGGATGGGGGACAAACTTTGGGTCCTTCCCTGTTGGTACCACAGAATCAGCCTCAGCAGCATCAACAGCAGCTTCTCCAGAACACACACACACACACACACAGCTTGAAATGAGATGCAGTGAAGTGAATAATCCCTCAGTTCTGCTTAGCTGTGATTAATTGACCAAATGTCTGTTTTATGTGGAGGGTCCAGTGGACCAGCTTTGTCTGGTCAAGAAGAAAAGAGAGAGAAAAGACACAAAGCCCTGTTAACAGAG